CCCCGTTACTAGTTTTAGTAACATCCCAAGTTTTGAGAACTGAAAACATCAACGGTACTTGCGTGAAATTTACAACTTTTGAACTTGCGGTTGCAATGACGAATACAAGCAGTGCTCGAGTGAACTTGGACAGCAGTTTAAATACTTCGAGAATTCGATCCTTTTCCACCAGTTAAAAAGCTAAACAAACGGTTATGACTTCGTAGTGGTAATTATCTGAAACGAAAAGCATTTTTATGGTGTGAAAATGAGCTGCAAACCTCTTGACAACACTTCCAGTACCGGCGCATTTGTTGACTTTGAAGCATTGCTCGTACCAGTTATCTAAATGTGAAAAGTATTCACCAAAATGTGTTAGTTAAAAACCAGATAGCCTAGGATCCGAAGGATTTTGTCGGCATGGGATCCTGGCAGGTACAATTTTGGCATCAGGCGTAATGTTCTATACTTTAGTAAGAACATACAAAGTTGATAAAAGTCGAAGGCCTGACTTCCCTCATTAAGCCGTATTTCCAAGCCAATTATAAGTTTTTTGCTTCCAAACGTAAAATCAAAGAATGTCGATGTTGCTATGTTCATTTAATTAGTCGCTATAGACTCTAACTGTTATTACAACTGCATGCTACCGGACGTTCTCCAAGTAGGGACAATTAAGGAGCTTTGCGTCGTCCTTTGTTGTTCATCACCTCAATGTCAAAATGTTCGCAAATGGAATACAGCATGGAAACACTTAGCTGTCGCAGTTTACCTGCCTTGTGCGCGTCACATAAGCTGAAAGTGTCGAAAACAATTGGGTGCCTTAGTCCCACCTTCTCTAACCCAACTGCGCGAACATTTTCGTGCACGATTTCCTCTTCAGCGGCCATGATATGTTCGTCTTGATCAGATTCTGGATCGTCCGAATGAGAATACCGGAGTTTAGAGACTCGTCTTGAAAAGTACCACTGAATTTGCTGTTCGGTCAAAAATTCACTTACTGTCAACAGGTTTTCCCCTTCCTGATTTCGCGCGTAACGCATGTCACGTGCAACATCCACTGGATAAAGTTTCACTCCTGTTGCTTGCCCGACTTTACATTTCGCGTCTAAGTACTGTCACTGGGAATCACTAAACCTCGTTGTCTTTTTAGTGAATGTTGAAGCCCACCCATGCGAGAGAACATCAGTTGTTACTGGGCATTGACTTGACTCAGCCTTCAGGGATAGCAAGTTGTTCGCCTCACAGAGTAGTTTACCATGGTATAATACTTTCACCTTCCCCATAAGACTTTCTCTGACCGGTAGAAACTCACATTGCCTGATGCCAAAATTGTACTGCCAGGATCCCATGCGGTAAAAATCCTTCAGATCCTAGGCTGTCTGGTTTTTAACTAGAAATATCTTTCATTTCATCACGGAGGCTTAAGGTTTTCTTCCCGGGTAATAAGCACCTAATGGGCGAGAGGTTTGGGATTTGGTGAGATGGAAGGATTCTCATTTTTTTTT